ATTGATGCCACCACTTGAGAGGCCCTTGCATGGGTCCTTCCACCTCTATCAAAATGCCAGTGCATGAAACAGCCTAGTGCTTGCTTGGGAAGGGGTTGGAAAGATTCCCACTCCAACCCATTTTGTTTTATCATCTTGAGTTTCATAATGGTTCCTCCCATGAAATCACCCTCTTAGAAAGTGCTGCCAGTAATTATTTCCTAAGTCTCATAGGGTTGGTCTAGGTAATATGTTCACAAAAGATAATTCTCCCTGGGGATGGCAAATTGCACATCACGGGAGACGCTATGACCACGGAGAGGTCACCGCATTAGTCAGCTCTGAGCAGCTAGTCCAGCCTCAGCGTTGAGGACATTGAGATTCTAGAGAGGGTCCAGTGGAGAGCCATCATGGAGATGATTAAGGGACTGGAGCATTTGTCGTATGATGAAAGACTAAGCAAGTTGGGCCTGTTTAGCCTGGAGAAAAGAAGAGGAGATTTGATCAACATGTTCAAGTTGTAGGGAGGATGGGGTCAGGCTCTTCTCCGTGGTGGACGAGGGGTAACGGGTGCAAGTTGAAACACAGGAAGTTCCACCTCCATGTGAGGAAGAACTTCTTTACTGTGAGGGTGACAGAGCCCTGGAACAGGCTGCCCAGAGAGGTTGTGGAGTCTCCTTCTCTGGAGATCTTCAAAACCTGCCTTGATGCTACCCTGTGCCCCGTGTTCTGGGTGTCCCTGCTTGAACAGATGGGTTGGACTAGACCATCTCTAGAGGTCCCTTCCAACCTCAACCATTCTGTGTGATTCTGTGGTTCTGCAGAGGGAGACGCAAGCACCAAGAGCCACCCGGCCTGTTTGCGATGAGGCCTCCGCTGTCTCAGCGACTCTTGTGCCAAGGCAGGTGTCAACACGGGGTGCTGGCGGGGAGCGCGCGCTGGTCTCAGCAGTCTGTGACGCCGTGAGCTGAGTCAGAGCAGAGAAGATGACCTTGCCTTAGGCAAGAGGATGATACAGGTCGCCGTGCAGGGGATGTGTGGATCTGGACCTGCAGAGCGAGATGTTTTGTGGTCACCACCGCTGATGAAAGCTATGCCAGAAAAATACACTATCCCATTGACTCTCTGTTGTCAGTTGACAGCCCTCACCAGGCACGTTGCCATAAAGGGCCCTGCGAGGTCACCTAAGCCTGAGCAATGGACAGCCTGATGTGATGGGTATGGCTGTGGAGCTTCTGGTGAGGCCACTTCTGCCTCAGAGCTGGTGGGTCAACAGCTGGTTCATGGATGGGTAAGGGAGGTCCTTCCTATCTGAGCACGGCCAGCAGAAGGCCTGTGGTTGGAGGGCTTATTGTGAGGTCCATCTCTTTCAGCAGCTTGGAGGCCAGAAGGTGACCATGTCTAGGAAGGACTAGGGGCAGCAGGAGGCAAGTGGACAAGGAGAGACTTCAAGGTCGCTCCTACCTCAACAGTTGACATGGCCGGGAAGTTGGAAGAGGCAACTGGAGGACATCCTTGAGGGAAGTGAGGAAGGAAGGAAAAGGAGAAGAGCGAAAGGAAGAAAGAAGGAAAAGAAAGAAAAACGAGCAGGAGAAAAAAAGGGAGTAGGAGACAACAAAAAAGATGAGCTTTTTCCCCAAAGGAAGCATCAAGAGGACCAGAAAGGCAACACTTTCCTCCTGCAACCTCTCCCCCAGCCAGGACATCATGGTACAAGATCCTTCAGCCCTCACCTGACCAAGATACCATCGTCTCAGCTCATGTTTGTGAGCCCTGCATTGCCAGGGCTTGTCTACCCATGAAGTTGTTTGAGGAAAAGATCTTCAAGCAGATGGTTCTCCACATAAATCCTCTTTGGCTCTTGCTCATTTTAGGCTCTGTGTGTTTTTCCACGGCGTAAAATGGAAGAATCAACACGTTTTACATCAAAAATGCATTTTACATCCAGCTTTGCAGAGCTCATTTGAAGAAGAATGGACTAAAGCTCTCCTCCTCTGTAAAGTTCCACTTGCTTCTCTCTCTCTTTTTTTTTTTAATGAAAACTTCTGTAAATGGTAGAATTTCCAGAAGCTGCAAAATATCTCTGTGATCAATTATTCCTGCAAGCTGCAGAGGGAAACGGTGCCTTTCTACGCTTTCTCTTAGCCCTCTCTAAGTGATAAGATCCACGTTCACAGGGCAATGCCTGGGATAGCAGACCCCACCTCTAGGGTCTCTATTTGCCCTCTGTGGCAAGCGACTCATCAAGGAGAAAAGTCTGGGGACACCCCGACCCTCCACATTGGAATGGGGACCCCAGGGCTGTAGCTTGTAGCTGGACTCTGAGGAAACACGAGAGCCAGCCAAGCCTGAAACTGCCCCAAGAAGGAGCAACAGGGGGGGAAAGTCCCTTCTAAGGGGGACAGAGACCCCCATGTGCAAGTTGACCTGCTGTCTAGGGAGGTTTGTCCCTTGCCACAGCCTTGGATCTGGGGGGTGAGTCCTCGTGGAAACCATTTCTAAGCACGCGGAGAAGGAAATGGTTGGGAAAAGCCAGCATGGATCTACCAGGGCTGAACCAAGCCCTGGTCGCCGCCTGCGATGATATTTTTGGACAAGGCAAGAGCAATGAGGCTCATTCACCTGCACTCACCAAGGCCACCGACACCGTCTCCCTCTTGTATCCGAATTAGGAGGTTACGGCCTGGGTGCGTGAGTAGAAAACTGGTTGGATAACAGCTCTCCAAGAGGGTCCTGGTTAATGGGTCAATCTCTTCTCCATGAGGAGAGGCTGAGGGACCTGGACCCAAGAGAAGTTAAGGCTCAGGGAGGACCTTGGAGTCGCCTTCCTGACTCTCTTGGCCTCATCTTATTGTGTCCAGTTCTGGGCTCCACAGGACAAGAGGGATGTGGAGCTGCTGGAGAGAGTCCAGCGCAGGGCCACAAGGATGATCAGGGGCCTGGAACATCTGCCCTATGAGGAGAGGCTGAGGGAGCTGGGCCTGTTCAGCCTGGAGAAGAGAAGGCTGAGAGGGGACCTGAGCAGTGTCTAGAAGTACCTCAAGGGAGGCAGTGAGGAGGATGGTGCTGGCCTCTTTTCAGTGGTGGCCACCGACAGAAATAGAGGAAACAGCCCCAAACTGAAGCACCAAAAGTTCCACAGGAACTTAAGGAAGAATTCCTTCCCAGTGAGGGTGCCAGAGCACTGGAACAGGCTGCCCAGAGAGGTTGTGGAGTCTCCTTCTCTGGAGATCTTCAAACCCGCTTGGACGCAGTCCTGTCCCCGTGCTCTGGGTGACCCTGTGTGTGCAGGGGGGTTGGACTAGATGACCCCTAGAGGTCCCTTCCAACCTTAACCATTCTATCGTTCTATGATTCTATGATCTCGTAGCTCATCCTGCTTTGAGTAGGAGATGGGACCAGAGATCTCCTGAGGTCTTTTCCAAACTGAATTCTTCTACAAAACGCACCGATTTGGGGACCACCCCCGGCCTCAGCGTCACGGTCTGGAGGGGAGCGATGGCAGCTGGAGGTCACTGCAGATGACGCCGTTCTCCTTGGGCCATCAAGAGAGGGCCCAGATCGGAGCAACCGGAACGTCCTTGGGGCTCCCACGCGGTGCGGAGGCAACACACGACACCGGAGCCGCCGCGTAGCCCGGGCCCAGGACCCGGCCCCATTCCCGGATTCCCAGCACCGCGTCCGGGCAGCTCCTCAAAGCAGAAAGAGGAGGGCAAGCCCGAGCCCGTCCCGAAGCCGCGCCGGGAGCCCAACTCCCCGTTGGAGCACGTTAAATGGGCTGATGTCATCCCTGCGTCACCTTTAATTGCGTGGAAAGCGCCGCGGTGGGAAGCTCCCTTGGCCGACATTAAACTGCTTCTCTGGGGGTCTTGCTGCACAGGATTCCGCTTCCTCTGTGTTTTCACTGTGTTATTTGCTTTAATATTTAATATAATTAATATTAATATTAATTAATTTAATATTTAACATGCTTTATTGGACCCTTTTTTTTTCTGGAAATGCAACTTTTAGCTTTCTCTGGGGCAGAAATTAGGTGGTTTCTTTGCAGACCCTTGACCAAACAAGATCACTGGCCGTAGCAGAGGGATTTGCAGCCCTGCCTGCAGCAGCATAAGGGGCAGGAGAGAAATAACAAAGCAGAAAGAAATCCCTGCTTGGCTGAAGAGAAACAGGTGAGACAGGGAAAAGAGGGTGGAAGAAAACCAGGAAAAGTTGATCCACGGAGGGGCCAGGTACTGGGAGTCCTTTAAAATGTTCCCAAATGTTCCCAGAGCTTTGGGAGGGGGCAGGGAAGGCGCCCGAGTCAGACCAGTTGCACAACCATTAGGTGCCTCCTGCGCTGCTCATGCATTCCCACTCGTCAGACCTCTGCGTAAAATGCATCCCGCCCCCGCTCCTTTCAAAATATGGGAGAATTCTGCCCAGAAAACAGGATTCGGGGAAAATATTTATGGGGGAAATCCAGGGGTTGCCTCGATGGAACCCTGGGTAGACGCCGAGAGCGGCGGTGGGACGGTCCTTCCAGCCCTCCGAGCGTCACCATCATGCTGGAAACCACCCGGGTTGCGTTCTGGGAACCCGCTCTCTTTTGGGATGGATGGGATTTTTCTCTGACTTTCCCAACACTGGGAACGACTCCAGCTCCGTCCCTCATCCCAAGGCCTCTCTGCAGCCCAAATCCCCGGAGCTGGAGGGGGCCCCCAGGAGACCACCCAGGCCAGGAAGGGGCAGGAGGAGCCTCCGGAGAGGCGACCGCCCCTCGCTAAGCTCAAACAAGGCCGCGGGCAGCTGAAGGCCATGGAGTTTATCCAACGTTTGGCTCTCCCTTATCACAACCTCCCTCCTGCCTCCGCTCGGGCCCGGCCTGGAGCTGCTCAAGGTCCCAGCACCCCGGGCGGCGACGGGGAGGCCCACGATACCTCCTCCGGTCACCAGGGGTCCGTATCGCATCGGCGACGGCCTCGCCGGGACCACGGGGAGGCCCTTTCGGAAGGGAACTCGCGGCCCAGGGCCAGGAATCCCGAGGCCGGAGCCTCCCCAGCAATTTCGGCCCTCGAAAGGAGGAGGCCGCTTTCCTCACCGAGGCCGAGCGGCCCCGGGGCTTTGGGGAGGCCGGGAAAGGCCTCGTCTATGCGGCCTCCCTTGTGGTGGGTTTCTCTGCAGGAGGGATGGAGAGGTGACACCCGCTCCCTCCTGGCATCCCGTAGAGGTAACGAATGGATTTTTCCATCTAAAAACACCGTCCGTCTCCGCTGGGAAGCTCCGGTGCGAGCGGGGTTGGGGGTCCCGTGAGGCATTGCTGGGTCTGACGCCTTGGGACCTCTGCAAGGAGGGAGGGTCTCCCTGGAGAGCGGAGACCTCCGGAGCGTCACCCCCCGGGCATGGAGGGAGAGGGGCCAACGTGGGCAGAGCTGCCCACGCCGCCCCATGGGTCAACCCTGTGGGACGCCCTGAACCTCTGTGCACTGCCCTCAACTCCCGAGCAATGTTCTCAACCCCTGTGAGGTGCCCTCAGCCCCCACGAGATGCCCTCAACCTCCCCGCAATGCCCTCGAGACCCATGAGATGCCCTCAACCTCTACACAATGCCCTCAACCCCCATGAGATGCCCTCAACCTCCCTGCAATGACCTCAGGACCCGTGAGATGCTCTCAACCCTCACGAGATGCCCTCAACCTCCATACAGTGTCCTTGACCCCCATGAGATGCCCTCAACCCCCGTGAGATGCCCTCAACCACCACGAGATGCCCTCAACCTCCCCGCAACGACCTCGAGACCCATGAGATGCCTTCAACTCCCATGAAGTGAACTGCATCTTCAGATGAAACTTTACTCTCTCACACAGCCATGAGGGTCCTCAGGGACTCGTCCCCCATGGTTGGTTCCAGTTGGGATGTATGAGGTGAGCTGGGCCTCCTGGGGCAGCAGATTAGGAATGAAGGGCCTTTTGGACCAAGCGATGCCTTCTGGTGGGAGCCATGAGCAGCCTTCGACCTCCACCTTGTGTCCAGGAGGCTTCACCCCAACCCTGTCCTCCAGGGAGGCCAGTTCCAAATGTGACCTCTGTGGGCCCAAATAGCTTGTCCTCCCTAGCAGCCTCTGTGCCCCTCAGAGTCCCCTTTTTAGTCCTTTCCAGCACCCGAAAGCGGATTTGAATTGGCTCTTCCCTCCCGTGGTGGGAGCTGTGGGGAGATCCACCACGTGGGAAGCCCAGGAGATCCTTCTGCCCCAGTTTTCAGGTGGCTTCACCCGCCGTTCCTTGAGGAACCGGCCGGATTTGGGGCAGGGGGTGTGAGGCCG